ATGTCTTCTACATCTATTTCAATTATATCATCATCTTTTTCAACTAAATCTTTTTCAACTATATCGGCATCAACCATCTCAATATCGGCTTCAACTACATCTACGTCGTCTTCAGCTACATCTACGTCAGATTCAACTACATTTACATTAGCTTCAACTTCTTCAACTAAGACTTTTGCTCGTTTGGCTTTTCTTAATTGATTTTCTACTAAATTCATGTAACAATTGTGATATAAGTAGTCATTTTTTTTCCAAGTTGTTTTTATTAAACCACTAGCTTTAGCTTCTTCCTATTTTTTTCCTGTTAACGAGCGAAATTTTTGCGATTTGGTAGTTTTGTATTCCATACATTCTCTACGTTTAGGCATATTTTTGATAAATAAATTGCAATATAAGATCAACTGAATCCTTATGAATTCTTCGATTTTGTTAAAATACAGTGCGAAAGCTTCAAGTTTGCTTAGAAAATTTAGTCACGTTTCATAAAAAAGATGCCTTACCCGAAGCCCCTAAAAAAGTATTGTAAAATATATAAAAAATTTCTTTGCCCTGTGTTAAATTGTATAACGATCTTCCTGATTATTTCCATATTTGGGAGTTTCTCACCTGAAGAGGTCACGTGATACATACTAAGATTGTACCATCTATGTGATTTATCAAGATCTTGTTATATTGATTTACATCGTTTAGAAATATGTAAAGACGCTTGGACATTCTCGGACTTGGATTCGGACATGATCTTGAACATTAAAAATGCACAACCCCTGATCAAAGTTGCACGATTATAGAAGTCAGATCTTTTGGTTAATGAAGCTTAATGATCTCTTTTAAAGATTAGGGTAATTCGCTTTTGAGTCAGAGGTATAGGTGTTAATGTGTATATTACTCATGATCTTAAATTTTGCGTATCCTAATTACATGGGCTGCCGTCAATAGAAATCAAGCAGATTAATATTTGAAAAAAAATTAATGCCTCAACTTTCTTAGCTCATATCTCGATAAATTTTGAATTTATTATTGGATTAAATCACATACTATACAAGAACAACTATATAACAAACCTCCTTAACATGATTTTTTTATAAAGAGTTAATGGATCTTTTATTAGTTGAAAGTAAAAGTAATTAAATTATCATTTTCACTTTTATTAACTTAATATTACTATTTATATCTAAGCTAAACTTTCCTTTTTTTTATTTGTAATACCTGGTTTTTTAAATATATTTATCGATAGAACAACGAAATATAATAAAACAAAAAATAAAAAAAAATTCTATATGACTACTGCTAAGTTTTATTTCAATTTCCTTTTTTTTTTTTTTTTTTTTTACTACTTTTGCTATATAGTCTTTAAATATGTTTAAGCCTCACTATCTTCACTTGTACTTTCCGCATTCGGGCATGTTCTACTATTGTGCCCGGATTCATGATATATACCACATTTCCTTTCTGATTCAACCAATTCAAAAGCAGATGAGTCCCTTTCAGTAGATGATTGAGCATGGTTTCTCGCCCCAACTGGACGTCTCCTTGTTTGCCTTACTTGTGGATTTTGTATAACTATAGTTAATTCTTGGAATAAGTCTGGCATCTTACTTATAATTGCACTTCTTTGGTAAGCTGATAGAGTACTAAATTGCTGGCTATGTTCTTCTCACCTTTGTTGTAAAACATCTTCGATTTCGGATAGTCTTTGCTGATCTAATTGATGTTCTTGGATTCTCCAATGTTGATGGA